TAAGCACAGTCATACCCAGCTGCTCCCACAGCAAACCCTGCTGCTCATCCCACTGCAGGATGTGGCTATAGCTGAATGCCAGCCAGGCTGGGCTGGGACAGGCTGGGGGCACGGCTGCTCCAGGGGAGCTGTCCCCACTCCCAGTCTCAAGGCATTGTGTAAGTGTGGGCTTGGATCTGGATGTTCCAAAACATACCTGTACTCAAGGCTCTCTATTGCCCTTCTGACATGGGCCCCTTAAGCACTCCTATTGCCAGATTTTCCCATCAGCCAGGTATGCTGCAAAGCTTTCCTTGTTTTCCTTCTTACAAGCTGTAAGTCTTATGCAGAAGCATGATTCAGGGACCATGTGTGACACAGAAGGCGCAGAGCTGGCTCAGCACACACACACATCTCCATGCTGTCCCAGCTACAGCATCTCAGGGCACAGCTCCTGGGCCCCTGGGACTTCTCATCCCATTATACCCGTCTGCCTTTTTTAAACCAACTTGTCAGAGGGACGGAAGGTTCTCAACTTGTATCAGCGTTTCACGGCTAAATTATGCCCGGCTAAGGGTGACCAGAGGCGAAAGGGCATCAGCTTTCTCCCCAGTGCAGTTCAGGTACACATCCCTCCTTGCAGGAGCTGGACCACTGAGACCTGTAACCGCTCCACAGGCTTTTTGTGAGGCATTCAGTGAGGAATGGCCACCGCTGGCTTTGGGCTCTGCTCACTCAAGTACCGATCACCCTGGGCTGCACTGTCCCGGGGGAGACGGTCAGCCAGGACCGCGCAGAATGCTGACAGAAGCTGCCCGAGGGGAATCGGCACCACTTGCCCGGAGCCCCCGGCCCCGGCCCGGCCCTGAGGCCGCCGCGCTCCTTGGGCGCCCCCGCGCGGCCCGGCCCGGCCGTGCCTCACACCCCGGCCCTGCCTCACACCCCGGCCCTGCCTCACACCCCGGCCCTGCCGCACACCCCGGCCCGGCCGTGCCTCACACCCCGGCCCTGCCGCACACCCCGGCCCGGCGGCCGCCGCGCTGGCTCTTGATGCGCTATGGATGGCGCGCCGCTGCCGCCACGGGCCGGGCAGAACCGCCAGGGGACACAATGGGTCCCTTCCTCCTCCTCACGCCACAGCTGGTGGGCGTCCAGGGAGAGACATGAAGGCAGGAGCCAGGCCTTGGGCACCACGAGCCCAGGATTACGCTCTAAGAAAGGGGAGGCGTCATAGCGGAGGCTCCGAGGTGGAGGCAGAGCAGACGAGGGTGGGGATGAGGGAAGAGAGCTGCCACGAGAAGCCTGGGCAAAGTAACTAGGAGCCACCCGACCCACACAGAGGAAGCACCTTGCCGGGGAACAAGGAGCTACAGCTTTACAATGAGAGGGACCAGTTCTTGCTCAAAATGTTCAGACTTTTAAAATACGGTATCAGCCTCCAGTGACTCAGAATTTGCTGCCAAGAAATCCATTGAAGAACTGCTCACCGCTCACCCACAACACCTGGGTTGTTTTACCCATCAGCTTTAGCACACACCTTCAGGCCTTACCTCCATGCAGCTCCCACAGGTGGCATGCCTCAAAACAGATGCAGTGCAGTAACCACATTGTCCCCATCCCACACTGCAGCACTTGACTGAACCCACACAGCATTTGCTGGTACCACGAGAAGCCCCATCTTCTGAGACAAACTCCTTGGTCAGCAGGACTCCACCCTAGAGGGCAAGAGAGTGCTATTACTTGCCAAACAACAAAACAAAGAGAAGTGACCATGTCCTTCAAATTTGGGTGACCTGATGTCGATCTGCTACTTAGTTTTATCTCCATACAAAGCTCCATGTGCAATCAAATCACCCTCTCCCAGCATCCCCAAGCCAAAGTTGGATGAGTTTCCAAAGTCCTTGAAAATTTGTGTACTGGAAACATAGGAGGCACTGGACAAAAATATGAAGTACAAGAATGGAAATTTTAAGAATAGAGGCAATACTACCATATCAAAGCATATAAAAAGTACATTTTTTCCAGAGAAAATGAAAAAAAAAAATTAAGAGGCTCCCAGTGAGCAAGCTTCTTCAAGAAGAGATCCAGATAGCTCAGCAGCAGTCCTTCATAGATTTATGACCCAAGGAAACAAACCTTTCCTTTATCCATGCCAGACTCCAGGCCAGCAGGTTAGGTGACTTTGGTGCTCTTCAGCAGCACTTTGCATCCTGTGGGCTGGCAGCTGTCCTTGGATGCAGCCCCCAGAGGATGCTGACAGGATCTCTGTACCTCCTTGGTTTTCTTGACTAACCACCAGGAGCAGCTTAACTTGTCTCTTCAGTCAGATTCAGCCCCCTTGAGTGTCCTGCTGACTCCAACCTGCTCAGCTGTGTTCTTAACACCTGACAAAGGCCCTTTGGCATTGTGCTACTGAGAATAGCAAGGAGGAACAGGAGTTGTTGACTGCAGTGCCTCTGGGTTTGTCATCACAAGCTGAGCTCGTATGGATTAGTTTGGCAGCAAATTAATTTCCACAACCCATCTCAAATGGAAAAAACAGTCTTCCTTGGACACAAAAATAGCCACACAGTTACCTTTTTTCTATCCATTCTTTATTGCAGGTGTATATATAATTGTTTATGTTTTATTTTAAACAAGAAAATCCTTTCATGGAAAGGAGAAACTTTTACCATTAAAATAGAGTGATTATAACACGAGTATTTTACAAATATGTACAAATATTGGCAGCTAGTTTCTAACATCAGCTGATAAATGCTTACACACTAACATCTACCAAACCATCAAACCCAAAAATAAGAGATCTTCTAAATCCAAACAAAAAATAAATGTATTACTAGCAGAAACAGGTGGATTTCTTTTTAATATGAATACAAAAGTTGCATAATAGATATTCACAGTGCTCATAAGATACGGATTCATTCTCAGTCTATACACAAAGTGTCTGGTCTCCCCTTCATATGCATATGTCACTTACAGTACTGGAGGGAGCTGCACAGACCACAGAGAGAAGGCAGTCAGACCTGCAGAGTTTGCCTTCCCTACCAGCCATGAATAAATACAAGAACTTCTCAGGAATGTACAAGGCAGTGGATGCTCATGCAAGAGTCAGTTATGCTGTTTTCAGGCATTGGTGCATTTTGTAACCAGCAGCAGCAGGATTACAGGATTGCAGTGCTTCACCAAATCCTTTGGATGCCTGCTAACTGCAAAACCAGCACAGTGAGCTGCCTGGTGGCAATAAACACTTCTGTGATGTGGTTAGGCTGCAGCAGATAAGGATGTGATTGTCTTTGAGAGAAGAGTGCACATGCTGCACACTCATTTTATGACCCTTTTCCCCAACAACTATACCCACTGAATTTTGACCTTTTTTCCTGTTAACAACCATTCCCAGAACCACAAGTAACTGTACATCTACATGGGTGGGAGAGCAACAGGTTAGTGGGGCCCTCACTCCAGACCTCCCTCATGTTTTGCACGGACAGGCACTGCTGCAGGAAGACCCATCCCTCCAGCTCTGTGGCAGCTGCAAGAGCAAGGCTCCTGTATTGCTGCAAGGCTGCTGCCTGCTGTACAGCCACTGGCCTCCTGGATCCTGGCCATGCCCATCCCCTGTGGCTTATGGCCAAACAGGACCCAGGTAACAGGGAGTGACTGACAGAGGGAGGCTTGGCTGGACTGTTCAAGAGCAGCCAACTAGATTTCTTTTACCCATTCAGATCCATTTAGAAGAATTTATTTTGGATGCAGTAAACATACCTCAAGTACTTTGCAAAGGCATTTTGGCGTTGTTTGAAACAAAGGAAAAGAGGCTACAGTGAACACGCAACTCCTAATTGTTCATTACAACAAGGAAAAACAGTGTGATCAAAGAGGGCACAGTCAATTAAGTTGTGGCTACAGTGCACACAGCTTGGGTTTGGTGCTGGATTCATCTCAGAGGATGTAGAGCAGCTGGTCCCACTTCAGTGAGTGCAGATGCACTTGCATGGCCTGTCTCTACATGGCATTCACACACAAGTAGCAAGATGATGGACTTCAAGGATTTGCTATTTAATGACTTATGGGAATGCAATTTACCAGACAACTACTGAGCTTGCATGCCCACCATCAAAGCAGCAGCTCAAACCTTCCTTGTCACAGTCTGGCTTCCTTCCTTTCCTGAATAAGGCTATCTTCAGCTTTTGATGACCAACACTGCACAACACACACTTCCCCAGCCAGCAGAACACTATTCCTTCCCTTCTAGTTTGCCAGAACACACCTAGATGGCTGTCAAAAGCTGGGCACAAAGCTGGGCCTTCAAGTACAAGCTTCCCAATGCTGGCAATTGATGAGGGGAGGAAACCAAACACATATTCATTTGCATGTAACAAGGTAGCAGGATGTTTTCCACACCAAATGCTTGAATGAAACAGCATAATTATGATTATTTCCCTAGTGAGAGCCAGTACAGCCAGATCCACCACTCTCAAGATCACCAAAACAAGTACCCTTGGTCTGGCATGAAAACACCCTACACCTGCACCATTATCAGCCCTGCAGCACCACACACACATATTTGCATGACCTATCCATGACTAAGTAGGACACAGTCACACTCTGTCTGTCCTTGCGAAGTGACTTTCTCCAATTTTACTTGCCTCCTAAGCAGAAAGGAAAAAAAATCTAAGGAACAGATTTATTAAAAACAAATAAACGAACAGCATTAAAGTATGAATCAATGTAAGGGGTGATCATGCCTGGACAAATTCTCCAGTCACACTCCTCTCTTCAAAAGCCTGTCAATTAATGCTCTTGCCCTCTATACTCTCAGAAGCAGCCAAGTCATTTGCTTTATCTCCTCCCTATCTCCCCAAGGATATAATGCCAATCTGCATCACAGCAGTGGTAGACAGCTGACAGTCAGCTCCATTTGTTGCAATAAAAAAAAAAAAAAAAAAAAAGACCACACATTGTATTTGGCTGGATGCTTACAACAAAATAACAACAACAAAAGAAGAAGAAACTCCTGGCAGAGCAGGTCTTGCCGCAGTGCAGTGAATAAGCAACTTGTGTTCATTACAACTGAAACAGGCCAGACACTTCCATACACAGCCCTCCAAATGTGCTTAGAGTATATCCTGGCCTGACAGCTGTTGGCAATGTTGCAGCAGCACAAACTGAAGACAAACTATCTGTACACTAAAATTAAGAGACATGGACCACAAGAGAAAGGCAGGAACATGACAAACTTTAAATTTCTGATTAATCCATATTCACAAAGTTTGCTTTACTAGCTCAGTGTCAGTTTTGGTCCACTGTTTTTTGGTTTTTATGTTGATTGTGCCCCTTCCAAGGGTGCAGGCCACTTCCACTTTCTGCTCAGACAGACACCACCAATGCCAGTGTTAAGTGCTACACTCCAGTTGATCTGCCCTGTAGCCAGCTCTGCAGAAGTGATGCCACTTACTGATACAGAGCTGAGTAACAAAGCTGCTCACCATCTCCCGCAAGAACCAGAGTGACATCACACGTGTTAATGAGGTATATATTGCCATGATGAGCTGTTTCCTGGTATGGAAGAGCTCCGATCTCATTACACCACAAACTCCTCTGGGAGCTGGTCCTCTCCCAGAAGATCCAAGGAGAGGCAGTTCATGGATCGCTTCCCGTAAAGGGCAGACTTGGTTTTGCAGTCCGCTGTGGAGTAGACGCAGCCGTAGACAGACAGCTTGTCCTCGAGGCTGCAGCCGAAGGTGTAGCTGTGGGACGTGTCTGAAGACAGCGTGGCACTTAGCGACGGGTGCCGGCGCTTGTACAGGCGGATGTCATCCAAACTCTGGCTGTGCTGCTCCATGCAGCTCCAGCTTTTGGGCGATCTGACCTGCCAGTTCAGCATGAATAAAAACAATGAGCTCAGACACAGCCTGAGGATTCTGGCTAGGCATGCCAGAAGTTTCTCAGAGTTGTTCTTCCCCACTTTCAAAAGAGCCCCACCACCCTTCTGAAGGATGTTGGCTTAAACAAGGAGCTGTGAACAATTCAGAAATTACAAGTGCATTAAGCTGCCATGCCATGTTGAGATGGATCCGGATCTGTCTGCCCTGTGTGCTCAAGTGCCCAGTACAATGGATGAAACACTTGACAGATACTGACACCTGAATGACCTCACACTTCTTGGCAGACCCAAGCAGTTGTCCTCAAATGGACAAAGTGCCCTTAACAAAAAACTACCCCAAATGCTCGAACACATTAAATCTAATGAGCTGAAAGGAAGGTTCAGAAGGCAACCATGCAAACTAATGGGTTAGAGTGTCCAGTAATTGCCACAAACAGTTTCATCTACATAACACTGTTCCATAAAGAGTAGCAACAAATCAGCAGTAATTCCCAGAGGCACCATCTTGCTACACAAGCCTCTGTGAAGGAGTTATTGACCATTTGAGAGTATTTCCAGCTTCAATTGTATTTTTTTCTTGCTCTGCCTCTTTAATAATCACCTGTTAAATGCTAATATTAAGGCTAATTTCAAGAATATAATTCTGAAACCAAGACACTTCTGTTGGCACTACAGAAATCTTACTCCCAGTATAATTTCACTCACTGCCACGGGAGAGGAATTAAAAACTACCCTGAGGAAATCCTGTTTTGGCTCAGCTGTACTCCCAGGAACATGAATATGTTGCACTGTCTGGTCAATGCTAATGAAACCCTGCAGTATTTAGTTACATGGCCTTGTAAGGAATATTTTGATAGTTTTCTAAGGAGCCACCAAGTATGTGATGCACTAAAGTGGCAGCCAGGTCTTTGCAATTATATAGACACTCCTAACAGTCCTGTATAAAACAGATGTCTCATGATCATTTAACAGTGTAAGCATGATAACAGCAGTAACAAAAACATTACAGCTTTAAGCAAGATGCCCACTTCCAGCCATGAGCTCTTAAGTCTTCCACTTCAACAGAGGAATAAATTCATTATGATTTGTACTGTATGGTCTTTAGCTTCTGTTCAAATCTCCTACAGCACTTTATGGACTATTTTGCTGATAAATGAAAATTTCTTATCATTTTTGACTGGGTCCAGAAAGAAACATGGAAAATTAAAAACAAAGTCCTAAGAAGTGACTGAAAACCTTGCTAAGAGTTTTAGAATTCTCTCAGCAGATAAGGTAATTTTGGATTAAGAGAGGGAAGACAGGGTAGAAGTAGGGGTTTTTGTTTTGTTTGGTTGGGTTTTTTTCAAAAACCACATTTTTACCCCAGTGAGTACAGCAATACTTTGAAAAGAAGTCTTAAAAAGACATTTTAATGAGCTTCTTCCAAATATATCTTCTTCTCTGACGTACTTTACCATATATAGTTTCCCTTTCTCAAGTGTTTGGTGAAAAGAAAATCTTGACAACAAAGACTTCCGTACACACAGACTATAATCACACAAATGATATAACAACTAGAGCTTGAGCATCTGGTTTTGCTCTGATGTAAGCTACTTTTGGCTTCAAGATGATCAAGTTTGCAACTCACTTCCAAACTGCATAGATGGTTTTTGCTCTGTATTGTACCAAAAATTTTGATGTGGTTGATCTTCCATGTCTCATCCAAAAGACTATGGTAGATAATAACTGGTTTGCATGATCTCCCTGCTGATTGTTCCAAACCTTTCTATACTATTCTGACCCCAAATGCTGCTCTTATCCTATTCCTGAGATCAGTAGCTGACCAGCAGCTGGTTTTGATTACACCATGTAAAAATCAGTCAAATCCAAACTAATCCATGTGTCCTGATTTACAGCCGTCTCCATTACACTGGACCTCGGTTCAATGCCCACACATAGACCCTCCTGCTGAACAACCTCTCCCTTACCTGGTGAAGGGATTCCACACTTTGGCCTCTCATTTTGATTAGCGTGACTTGCACCACAGACAGAGATTCCTGATTTACAGCTGGAAAGGAGAAGCATGAAGTGAAAAGCATTGCAAGTTTGAGGTTTTGTGGGCAATAGAAAAGGGAAGTTGTTCTCATAGGTCACATTCAAACAGTGACAAACAGTGTCCTCTTAAGACAAATATACATCATTAAGCACCCTCAGTGCTCCAGGAGTTTTGCTCACGAGCACTCATTTTTGGCCCTAAAGATCAACATTTGAAAACTTTCAAGGAAACAGTTTCTTGCCAACTTGTCCCATTTTTTTACCCTTCTTGCTTTCCTATAAAGGCTGTATATATTAAGGCCAGACAGCTCCTGCATAACCCTGTTGCCTAGCATCCCCTGTATCACAAGCCACAAAACTTTACTTAAGAATTCCTGTGACCATCCCATTATTCTGTGGTTGAGCCCCTTGGCTGTTTTGTGGCACACAAGATATTAAAGCATATTCCTTCCCTACAAAAACTTTACCTCAATTATCTTTCTGTCATTAACTGAATATAAGCTTGGCACATTTAGAGAAGGGAGACTTTGAGGAGCACAGAGGAGAGCAGCACTGTACATACAATACAGAAGGCTGGCCTGTAAATTCTAGATGAACTGCCTGCAAATCCTGTTGCAGTAGGGCAGTAAATAGCACTGGCAGCTGTTTAGAAGGAGATTGGAATTCTTGTAGATCCCTCAGATCATGCCTGTTGCTAGAGCCTTAAAGAACAGCATTGAGCAGCAGCAGAAAGCCATCTCACCTTGGCAGCTAGCAGCATCTAGAGGCAGGGATTCAACAGATTCTCCCACAGTGGCCTCCTCTAACTGGTCTCCCTCTAAAGGCTCATCTACAGGCATCTCCTCTGGCTCATCTACTGCCAGCTCAAGCTCTAGGAGGAAGAGAGCAGCAGGAGAATGGTTAGCATTACACTTGTGCTCCAAGCTGCTGTACAGTCTCTTACTCCCCGCTCTCCTGCAGGAGAAGACAAAAGTTGGCTTAGAAGTTGCTCCACACGTCCAAATTCTTTACCATCATCCTGCGCGTCATCTTCAGCCCGCCCTTTGCTGCCACTGTCAATGCCAGAGCTCCCGTAGCTGATGGTTGAGCTGCAGGATTGCTCTTTCCTGTGCACGCGGTCAATGCCGAAGGGCTCATCCACCGACATCTCCACGGACACACGGTGCCGGGAGTCAGCCTCGATGCCCGAGGTGTGGGAGCTGCCGTGGCTCCCGGTGGACTGGCGCGACAGGCGGTTATCCCTGCGGCTGCCCCCGCTGCTCCCACTGCCACGGGAGTTCTTGTCACACGGGTCCAGGTCCATGTCCAGAGTGTCACTGATGTAGGACTCCCGGTAGCGCTTCTTCTCTGAGGGAGAAACCAGCGAGAACTTTAAGGAAGGGTAACAAAATATATTCAGGAAGTTCTGTTGGCATCAGCCAACAGCTAAGAAACAACTGCTGCAGCTACTGAACAAATACAGGGACAGCTTTGTATTTTGTTTGCTCAACAGATGGATGCTCAGGTGGTTGTAAAAGAATTACTCATACTCGCAGTAAACCCAGCATCTCCTAAATTAGAACAGGCAGGTAGAGGCAGTTATGATACAGAAAACAGTTGGTTTCAGAGTGAAGGTCAATAACAATAAAGCAAAACAAAAGCAAACAAAAAAAGGGAATTACTTAGTGAAATTTGGTGCTCAATCTTTAAATCAGATGTGCTGATTGGTTCTTGAAATACCCACCACTACTTGAAGTCAGCTAAGAACAAGATTTCTGTGGCTGGTATTTAGTAATGATTTATTATTTCTCCCATGGCATGTATGTGCTAAGGGTGGTTGAGAAATCTATGTGACACTAACAGACACAAAACAACCAAGGGCTTTTTGCCCACAGGCACTTGATCAGTCAGCCTTTCTACAGGTGACTGGCACACGCCACTGGTTGCACCCACACTGCTCAAGGCCACTGCTGTAACCCCACTGAAGGGAAAGAGAGAAACCACTTGAGAGGAGATATCACAAAACAACTTTCTGATCACAGTCAACAATGTGGGAGCCACAATTACTTCTTAGGAATGGACTTGAAAGGTACCTAACACCTCTGCTTCTACCACTGGCTCCCCAATAAGGCAGAAACACCACTAATTAGATGAGAGTAGGCACCATGAAACAACAGAAGAGACTAACACACTGTACTCTTCCTCTTACTAAACTCACTTGGGTGTTCCCTAACATACCTTCAGCCTCCTCCAGTTTTTGGATCTGCTTCAAAACTGGCTGAATATTCAGAAAGAGCCGGTGGCTGTTGCTGAGTAGCTGCAGCAAATGGCGTGACCTGAAGGGGCAACCCGTGTAGTAAACGAGTTTCCGTGCAGAGGGCAAACCATCTGGCTGGATTTCAAATTTTTTCCCCTGCACAAAGAGGAGAGATGCCAAAGAGATGAGCAGGAGCACGTTTTCAGCCACACAGCTACCAGAGATAGCTGTGGTCTCGTGCGTGCAAGTGACAGGACGTGACGCAGCAGCACAGGCAGGCCAACAGCTTTGCCACATCCCAGGCTGGCAGGCACTGGCAGATGGCCTCCATTCCATCATACTCACCAGGAAGGCCAGCTTCCCAATGTGTGACCAGGGAAAGTCGTAGAGGAGCTGGCGAACGTGATTCACCTCCTGCAACACATCAAACCCACAGTGACACAGGGACTGGCAGGTACAGGGTGGAATCAGCGATGTGCAAAGAATTTGCAAACAACCAAGAATTTGAGATATGTGGAGCCTGGGGTTGCAGGGGAGGCAGAGGAGCCACGGTGAGGGGGGAGGACAGGGAACTGGGCAGAGTTAATGCTACACCAGAAGGCTTTCACAGCAGTCTGTTACCTGATAGATGTGCATTCCTCTCAGGGTCAGGCCCAGGATAACTGTCGGTCGATCCTCCTTCTTATCCTAAAAGAACAGAAGAGTCAAAGGTTAATCTACAAAGACCACGCTCTTGTTCTGGCACCTACTGCAGGAGAGGTAGCAGGACTCCTCATCACACAGATGCCATCAGCTCATTTGGTTTTTATTATGTTTGTAAAGTGCACCTTGCCTTGTTGACCCCTGAAATACCTACACCTAAAATCCCCTCATGCTGGGAGCTCAGGCATTTCACCAGCATATGTCCTAGCTGTCCTGGACAGGGAATCCTGTAGCTTTAGCGATTTGAGAATATGGACAATTACTGTTCTCAGGGGTACCTTGTAACCTCTCTTATAACCACGTGCTGTCTCTGCTGTCCCCATGAACATGCACCACTCTTGCTCTCCAGGTGACAGAGAGCCCAAAACAGAGGGGAACCCATTCCCCTCTCCTTGCCACAGCACTGCTGTTCCCATCCAGGGGATTTGCTAGATCTTAGGTAGCTTTTGGCTGGAGGGGAGCTAATCAATGCCCAATTATTAGGACTTTCATTCTAACATTCTATCTTGGTGTTGGGAGTAGGTGGTTTTACATGAGTTTTATTACCTGGGTTGAAATACTGTCTTTTAACTCCTGCTGCATCTTGGTATGACATACCTGGTCTCTATTCATATTCTTTTGCTTGAAGACCAAAAATATCATAAGCTAGTTCTTTCAGCCTCTCCTAACACAACAGAGTTAGGGAGTGGAATGCATACTTTTTTTTTTTTTAATTAGGAAGAAAAGGAGAAAGAAAATTTGGAGGTAAAAATGTATGGGCTCACAAAGCTCAAACTTTATGTCACAACTCATCTTTATTCATGTCTCTCCTCATCTGGCTTACAAGATACAAGCCTTATGCCATCACATTACCCCACCCTTTATCCCTGGATCCCTGGTACCATCCCTGTCTTCAGCTCAAAGTAAGAAATATTAAGAAATAATAAGAAATATTTTCTGCCTCCTAAGGACAAAGAGCTTTGTAAATCAGTGTTGGTCTGAATGAGAGATGGGGGGTGTGTTGTGTTTTCCTTAGCTCCCAACCTCAGTAGAAGCCACCTTAAGATGAAAGTGACTGCTTTTGAAATCTCAGGGCAACCAGCCCACCAACACCTTCACCAACTCCTCTGCACTCGGCTCAGGCAATCGGTGACCCAAGCATGACCTAAGGAGGAGCATCTCTCACCACAAAATGAGATAACTGTGTCACACAGCAGGAATAAGACTCTATTAAGAATCAAACGACACGTGGAAGAGTACATGGTGCCTAAATTCCAAGTCAACAAGGAATTTAAATATTAAGAGCAAGCAATTTCACAGTCTTGATGCTTTTGGATATAAAATGTATCATGTCCTGCCTGCTGGACTTCTTATGGCATTCAAGTGTCACTAACTCTCTCATGACTGCATCACTAACAGCATTAAGAATAAAAACAGAGAACAGAAGACAGGTAGGCAAGCATCTTTGGTTTGCAAACAACTAAGCCTGGACTACTGATCAAAACTTATTTTCTCTAGAAAATGCATGTTTCTTCAGTAACTAGAGCTGTTAGATATGTTCAGAGACATGTATACTTCTCAGATATAATTGCCACTGAGCACAAAAACCCAAAAAGTTTAATTATGAGTCTGACAGAGGAGTGTATCTCCATTTGGAAAAAAAAACCCAAGCCATTCCTAATTGCATAGGCAGGTTTCACTCACCTAAGTGGAACAGAAAAGTTCTCATTTCTAGATCTAAGCACTCAGCATGTGAAAATGAAGCATCTTCTGTTTAAGCAGGTTTGGGTAAAGAGTCTAACAAGCAACAGTGTAGGAATCCAAAACTGCCAAGAAAAGCATATAGCTGAAAAAACACCAAACACTCTGGCAGGGTTGGAGAATGAATGGGATACGAAAGTTGGAATGACTCAGTGTCACCTTCAGTTGTTACACGACATTTGTGCGAAAGCTGGCTGACCTCTTGTCATAATTTCAATGAACTACAATGGGAAAAAAAGCAGCTTCATTGATTTCCCTGGTGCAATTCTATTGACAGGCAGGAACAAATATGAAGTTTTGCCATTCCTGCGGCCAGTTTCTTAGCTGAGGAACAAAACTAAATTCCAGCTACATCTGTACATTGGCGACGTGTTTGTTTGTGGGGACAGCCCTCGTTTGGCTGAGCATTTTAGATTTGTTTGGCCTCTCTGAATCAGAGGCAACTGTCCCTCAAACAAACAGAAGGAGAAAAATGCCATGGTGCCCTCAATTAATGATGGGAGAAAAGTTCAAAATAAAAAGGTCGTTGTTTAACCTTCTGCAGCCTGTAGAAGTGGACGGGCACATCTTCCAGCAGGCAAGACTCCTTAATGAACTTCAGCACCGCTTCCTTAGCGCTCAGCCCTTGCTGCTCCCGGTGCATCTCTGGGGCATGTCTCAAGATGTAGTCGCTCCCCCTCTTTGCAATTATCTAAACCGCAAAGAAAACAAACAGGTCAGCAATTCTTCAGCAATCCCCATGAGAGGCAGCTGTGATCAACAGCAAAGCAGTGGCTGGAGATGGAGGAGGTTCATATATTCCCTCAAGATGCTGGTCTGTGTTTGCCTCTGCCTCCCTGGAGGATAAGCATTTAAAGCACCCCAGATGACACTGATGTCTCCAAACAGATCCTAGTGGCAAAACTGTAACAGACCAAGACTACAGAGGTCGTGCCAGCTCTTTTCACTTTTAAGTATTGGAATTAGTTTTCCTAACTCTTGGCATCCATAAATGTTTATGGGCAGATAACAAATACTCCTCTGCATGCCAGCACAATCAGCAGCAACATCTCTGAAGAGGCAGAAATACTAGGTTTTCCTTTTAAGAGCAGAAACTACACATTAGGCTTACTTAGCATTTCCATTCTCAAAGGGTGGATAACACTATCTCAAGGTATTTTTTTATCTATTAGGAGTGGCTGGCAGGCACGTGGCTTCACTAAGCAGTAGGAAAAACCTGCCCTGGGCCTTTTGCTCCTGCCCTGCGAGTGCCCAGTTCCCACGTTTACCCACCCGCCCTCTCCATACAAGGCTACTGGGCAGCTCAGCCCTCTCCCATACTCAGCTGGTTCCTTTCAGGCTGTGAGTGGCAGTGACAGGTAAGAGGGATGATTGGCTGAATTCACTTCTCAACATCCCCCACCACCAGGAGCATTTAAAACTAGATTGCACCAGGTACCTGAGAACATCCTGCCAGAAACAACCTGTCCTGGCTCAAACCAACCAGACCCCATCACCACCCAGTTCCCACCTGCATTTAATATTAAAGCCCTTGCTTACTCTGTTTGCTAACACCTCTGCATGCCCTGCCACATTGGTTGCCATCCCACGAGGAAGGCTGGCCTTGGTGGAGGACAATATTGATGCCATCAGCTGTGCAGTGTCAGCAGAAAGAGATGTGCCAGCTCCACAGTTCAAAGCTGGGTGGGTCAGCCCAGGGCAGCAGTGCCTCTCCTCACTGGCACGAGACCTGGGGCAGCCCTTGGCCAAATGATATGAAGCACGTGTTGAAGGAAGTGATTGTGTTGGAGGAGGAGATTACTCACTATCTCCCCAGGGGCAGGGAGAGAAGCGTCCCCATGCCTGCCAAATTTTGCTGTTTGTAATGATGTAATAAATCACCCACATACTTGCTTGGGGTTGTGGCTCAGTGCAGGTGAGCAACAGTCTGTGATAAGCCCTTTAGCTGCCTCAGAAACAGCACAGAAGACCCACCATTTCCAGCCCTTTGTTAGCTACCTCCTGACAGGCACCCAGTAACAAGGAATGGCATGGGATGAGGGCCTGTTGTCTGGGAGAAAGGCACACTGCTGCACAGTAAGGCAGGCAGGCTAGGATTTGTGCACAAAAGAGACTATCAGTCAAGACAAGTCCTGTCACTGATCTGAACCTTCTCCCCAAGCAGAGGATAGTGCCATCTTACAGGGGAGATGCAGCTTGCCTGGGACAAGCAGCCAACTAACAAAGCCTTAGCTAATTTGCCTTCATTTGACAATTAAATCAATTCTTGGTTGAAAGTCCTGAAGGGCACAAGTCACATGCTTATAAACAAACATGCAAATGATTTCTCTTTCCTCTTACTGCACTTGAGGCAGAGATTAATGACAAAGCAAGCACCAGAGGCACTGCACAGCAGTATTACCCCGTAGGTTTGGATCTATCCATCCCTGAGGCAAGCATTACAGAGAGGAGAACAAAGGGAATTACACTTGGCTTTGCAGCCCTGAGGTTTTCTGGAGAGCTTGGGTTGTGGAGATCTTGCTGATGTACCTCTGGAAACACACAACCCTTTAAGCCATAGAAGAATTAAACAAGGACATTGCACTGTCAGAGTTATTCATGTGACACCAACACATGCCATCACCAAGGAAGGATGTATCACCCACCTCACTGATGAGTGAGCCCAGAAACATGCATCTACATGAGTGGAAAGACAAGAGATACTCCCTGAGGGACCTTCAGGGTGATACTCTACCCATCTGCCTGATCATTGCAGCAGGAGAGGGGGAAGTTGCATGGCTGCAGTTAGGTACCACCTTGGCATAGCTCCTGCTGCAGGCATGACCTGTTGACAGAAAGGTTCCCCCCCAAACTTACCCATTGTGGGAAATAAGCCTGAGGTTCAAAATATTTGCCAGCGTGGACCTTCTCTCTGTAGTTGCCCAAGTCTGCCTGTAAGCTGTAGGCAGCCAGCAAGAAGTAGATTTCTTCTTTGTGGTTGCAATGAGACATAAGCACTTGCTCTTTGAGATGGCAGTAGTAGAGCTGCCGTGCCACCTTATCGCTGCAAGACAAGGGCAAATTTACTTCAAGAACAAAGTTCAGATAAGGACCCTCAAAAACATCATCCTGCTGAGAAGAGGGATTAAACTTTGACATGTCTGATGTGTGCCAATGCCACCCTGATACAGTTGTGTGTATAAGGAGCACCAAACCAAGATCAAGGTCTTCTCCCACTAAGTGTTGTACAAACACAAGAAATGGTAGCTTCTGCCTTGAGGAGCATGAGATCTAAGAAGTTAGGGCAGAAGGTAGATGAAAGAAAAATCACATCACACCTGTTTTGGAGACTGACTACAATCAAGCACTTCTGTTTCCCTGGAAAGCCTGTAGCAGCCAGGATAGTCAACTCCCTTGGACTCCCAGTCCTGTTTCTTGCACACCTGTCCTCCTTTTCCCTCTAAACTTGGCCCTGCTTTTTGTTTCACCTTGCCTTAGGCTCATGATAGTTCTTAACAGCTAATTCCCTGCAAGGTAGATCAAAAGACATGGGAGCCTTGGGCTTGTTTTTGTCTTCTTCCTCAAGCTGCTAAACAGGGATTGTCTGATAAGGAATTACTATGGCATAGCCTTGATAACCCACACACCCCCTGCCCTCAGAGATCATGGGAAGCAGGCTGCTGACATGTGCATGTAGATGAGGTGCTGGACACTACAGTCTGCTTGTAAATGTGTGCAAGTATAGTTTGAAGGGGCCAGATAACTACCTCTGCATGGCTCTACAAACCTCTCCAATTAAACTACTAGTGCAAGAGAAATATGCCTGTGATGGTGTAGGACATGTAACTTGGGAGTGGCAGAATGGTATGTAATCTCTCTCTGTACAAAAAAGGCAAAATGAAACAAAAAACACTTATCAGCCAGACAGACTCCATAAGAAAGAGTCCCCTGTATCCAAAAGTGAAAGACTATGGAGAGAGAAAACATAGAAAACCACAAGCTTTGCTCAAGACAAGAACAAATGCCAAAAATTTGGTAAAGAGTTTAATCCACCTAAATGATCCCAGCTCCTGCCTTCCCCCAGGGACAGAGCCACACCAGAAGCATTGATGTAAATTAACTCTGTCAGTTGTTCATTTTTAACTACCTCATCCTTTGTTCTGTACCATGGGTGAGGGTGGTGCTGTTTTGAGTGCAGCCCATATTCCATGTGAATGGACTACAAATGAAAAAGTCTAACTTATGAAGTAATTTGTTTTGTTCATGTATGAAAGTCCATTTCCAGGATTAGACTGCACAGAGCACTGCTCAAATACAAAAAATAGATCCAAAGCACATGCTTTGGAGCATAAATAACTATTTTTGGTATATGCATCCAGTGCCTTTCATACAACCAAAAGACATGAGCAAAAGAGTGTTTTGCTAATGTCATCATTCAACCTGCATTTTCAACACAGATGGAAAAGCAGTCACAATTTTCCTAGGGATATGGAGTATGATTCAGGCAGAAAACATTCATAGCTGAGTGAGGACATCTGTGAAAGTCTTAAAAAAAATCCAAGCTAATTTTTAAAGCTTATTTCAATGAGTTGACAGAGACGAGCTTAACAAAGAAACATTCTTCTTCTTTCATTTTAAGAACACACTGAATAATTCAAAACACAGTCATTACCACAGAAGAGAACTTACCCTATTACTCTTCCATTTTCTACATAGTATTGTACTCTAAAGAATGCAACAAATGGAGGGCTGAATTTCTCTGTCCCCTAGAGCAAAGACAGAAGATGAGTTAAATTATGATCAGCATCCAAAATTCCTGTTACCCTATCTGGTAATGTTCTCTCCTCTGAAATTTACTCCCCATGCTGCTTTTCATTTTCTACTCTTAGCTCTTGGCAAGTTTTAGGAGGGAGTCTGACTGTCTTGGAGGCTCATGACAATGAGGCATCACAAAACCATCAGACAGGTTGAACGACAAAATCTCCTAGGAAGAGCAGATGATTTTTGGATAGGAGGGATGTGCTGGTGTAAGAGTCCCAGAGTAGCCTGGGGACACCCAGGCTGGCCCAGAATTACCTAGCTCAGCACCTGGCAGCACCACAAACACATTCGTGCTGAACGCAGCAAGTTTAACCCAGCCTCCCTCACAGCGCCAGGCAAGGCAGCAGCGCAGTGTGCCACCCTGGCATGGCCATGGCATTTCCAGGGCACTCCTAGGAGCAACCATCCATCCCTGCACCACACCACATCACCCAGCACGGACAGACACACTGCCATGTTCAGCACTCACTGCCTGGGGCTCAGGAGCACCAGCCTGGGATCAGCTCCATGCCTTTTGTTTGGCAGGGCTCCTGGTTAGTTATTCACACGTTCCTGCAGCCATAGAGCAAAAGGCAGTGGTGGTGTGTGCTTCATACTGAGGAGTGCTGCTAGAAGAAAGCCAGCATGAGGCCTGTTGTTTTAGCTACAGCCTATCTTTCCGACTTACAGGCTCGTTTGAACAGAATAAAAAAGAAAAAAAGGGAAAAAGAATAAAGGAACATCTTACTAACTCACTCTCTCATCTTTCCTACTTTGTCACTTTCATGTTCACACAGGTAACTTTGCCCCCACAGGCAATTCCAAGGCTTTGCTGGTCAGATCCATCTCACTGGGACAAGGTCCATGCTCTCCACATCTGAGGCAGACAGCTTCTCGACCATGCAAACATCTCCATTTCATTTCTGGAAGTTGTTTATAGCCACCCTATTTTATCAGCTGGACTGGGCTTTCCACCTGAAACCTCTTCATAGAAAGTAACCTTTCAACTAACCCAGTCCAAAAGGCTAACTCATCTCAGACTGTAGTACTGCCAGTAGCAACTCATTGAGTCTTTTGTGATTCACATCACACCAGAAGTTCAACACTTATCCTGACCAGGAAAGTGTAGCAAGAATCCAGTCACAGAGAGACCTCAAAGCATACCCCATCCTGAGGTGACCAGAAACACCTGCTTTGGGGAGCTCTCACTGGCTGGACAGACAGCCCCTTCACATGACTCTGGCTGTTTCTGAAGTAACTCTCATTTGTTTGGGAAAAGCAGCGTACATGCCTGGGGATAAGAGAGATGTCCAAACCTCACTAGTTATCTACAAACTTAGCAGCAGAAATGGCAAGTGTGCCTATTCTGCAAAAGAAAATGCTTAGGCAAGGTGGAAAAAAGTAATTGACAACTTTTACAACGACCCAATTAAGATATATGAAAGCAATTGCATGCTATACTTTGTTCTAGACTATGGCTCCTCTATTAATGGCACACACAAACAGGCATTATCATGTCTGAATGAACAGTATTAAACAATTACGTAAGCTTGTCTTTATTTCATGTAGTTTTTCCCTCCCTTATCAGGGCTAGCTGGCCTTAAAGAACTAGGACTTGTCTCAAACAAAATATCCTTCCTCTCCCTCCAGTGTCCTTTTGCACATACTCTGGCAAGAGTCACAGCTCCAGTCATTTCCCATGTACCAGATTCAAGTCACAAAAGGTTATTTTAGGCTGTTTTGCTTAAGGATAAAAATGAGGTCCCCAGACTAAATTCAAATGGAAAACTGACCAACTGACTTCCTCCACTTCTGCAGCAGCCAAACAGCAACCATGTGGTTACTATGGCTCAGCTAAAGTTGCATAAGGGGCTGGTTTAACTAATTGTGCAACTATGCAAAAGTCACTGCATCCTGCTAATGAAAAGTATTCTGCAGACCATCTTCAAAAGATGCTTTATGGACCTTAGTTTAAGAGTATTTATTTCACTGTGCAGTCCAATAAAAAGCAGCAGCTTCCAAAGTTAAACACCTCTCTTACTTTGGTGGTCTCTTTCTTCCATTCCTTTGAAAAGTATTTGCTAAGCTTCTGCTCCAGGTCTATAAAAACATATTCATTATCTGAAAGATAAAAAAAAAGGAATTCAACATAAAATAATTGGAAATGTTTAGTCACTAAACATTTAGGTCACTCTACAAGTTATTTCCAAGCAATACATTTGCTGACCAGGAAATAGACAGGGCAGAGGAGGAAAAAAAACAGTACTCTTAAATACATGTGCAACTCCAGATAGCATGGAAGGAAGGTCATTCACTCCTTCAAGAGATCCCGAGCTAAAGGTTCCCAAACATCTTAGCCAGAAATGCAGAATTCCTGCTTTATAATCAAGAAGCCATTTCCAAAAAAGAGAAACATCATCTTACCCAGCTAATTGTACTGGCAGCTTACCAGTCAGTTTTTTATTATTATTAAACAAGCAAGCCCTACCCAAGCTTGTATTCTGCCATCATGTAGCACCATGGTCCAATATGGCAAAAGTAAGTAACGAGAGCTGGGTACTTGACAGGTTTCATCTTCTGCATGTGAAGGGGATCCTCTGAAAGGGTGAGAAACAAGAGGACCAAACACAAACGCCTTTCTCAGAAGGTCTGGTGTGTCCTGCTCACACCCAACTTCTTTCATATAGAGAAAGGATGAATGACAGGAAGGGAAACCTGGCCTGCCTCAAAACACTAAAGGACCAGGACTTGCTCTCCACCCTAGTGAGAGTGAACAAGACACAGCCTGAATGGCACATCATCATGAAAGAGGTTTGTGCTGCTTTCAAAGCTGATGTTTCATAACACTGCTTACCAATTATCAAATACAAACAACTCAGCCAGTGAAAGATTTTTTTTCCTGAGTCTTCAAGTCTCTTAAGAAAAAAATAAAAGACAAGACCTGACAGGTGTTTCAGGCTGCAGTAGCAATGCCAGCTGAGCACATTCACCTGACCAGTCTCTCTACACTTTGATCTTGCTTAGGACAGTGTTTTGACTGGTGACACAAGTGCCAAGATGAAGAGTTTGCTCCTTTAACATGAAAGGAGCAGGAGTAAAAAGGAGAGGAAAAAAATAGAAAAAAGAACCCTTCACAAAACAAACTCCTGCCCCTTAAGACCAGCCCAGACTTCCAAATGAGAGCCTGCACTCATGTCTGTATTATGCCAGAAGCAGGCCTGGCACGGTCAATGTTACAGTAGGCATTGAAGGGGGTTCTAAGCTACCTCACACCCCTTCCAAATCATTGCAGATCCTTACAAGGGCAGATACAAATACTTTCTTTGCTAGCTTTCAAAAAACAAGCAAGCAAAACAACCTCCTATCGCCATCTCCTTCAGCTCCCACCTCAAGAAACCACATCTGGTGCTATCCAGAACTGGCCTACACATCACCCTACTAGGAAACTTCCTGCAAAACAGCACTAACACTGGATACAAAAAGTACAATGCCCAAAAAGTCCTGTTTCTGTCTCCATGCTCTTTCCTGCATTGTAGTACTTGCAGCTGTACTTTTAATATACCTACACTTCTGTTTATCACATTACTTGACATATCACATACAGAAACAAACCAATATTTAACTGCACCATTGAAGTGGCTGTATAGAATTTCTGAAAGTGTCTGTGGTGGTCAATTTAAGTGCTGTAGCACACAGGATGATATGGAAGTTATTTCTGCTGTTTTGACAAGGAGAGGAAGAGTTTTTATCATCACAGAGATTGCATCTTGTACCTGCCTCTTCACTTCTGTCAAAGATAGGGGGGCTGGGGGCTACACTGGCCCCAGCCCTTCCTTCTCTAGGTCCATTAAGAACAGATAACACTGCCTGGAAGAGGCTGATAGAAGTCCTAGTCAGTGAGTGAGAGAAGGGTTTGTTCATGTTAGGCTTGTCTGTCCCTAATCAGCTGCCAAGCTGGTACACATCACTTCATAAAGCTTTCATTAAAAAGTAAGTAAAAGCTCATTTAGGGAATCGATGCACAGCAAGTGACTGGAGTTGTATAACATGAGCACACCACCCAGTCCCTCCCTGGGCTTTGGCAGTCCTGCAGCAGGGCCTGCCCTTCACTATGGGCTCCCCACATGCCAAGGGGCTGGTCCTGATGGCACAGCAATGATGGGTAAAGCCTGTATCAGCTCTGCCAGCACTGTGGTCTTCAGCTGACACCTTGTTAAGTGGCTATAACAAGTTGAAGGGTCAGTTTTCCTTTCTACTTCAACGATGATCCCATGCCCACAGGCATTTAGAGAAACACATTAATTATTCCTCAAACAAGAGGGGAAATTTCAATAGCAAGCACAGTGACATACCCCAAACCATCCCATCAGCCCTGAATAGTACGTCAGAAAGGGAAAAGTATGACAGAACAGTTACACCACAGTAAAGTAATTTGCCACCCACACCCCAGAGCCTCTCTTTATCTGTCATGTTAATTAGGTTAGAGATGATTTTGTGAGGGCACAGATGTCACACCTGAGGATTCCAGGTTATTATCAGGCCTACTGGGAGATACACATAAACCACAAGAATAAGCCAGGCTACAGGAGGACACCCCAATGTACATCTCTTCTTGGGGTCCTCCCCAGCCCAGCTCAGCATCCTCCCTCCTGTGCAAGAATGCAGCACTGCATTCCTGCCTTAATGAAGTTAATATGGCTGGAATGTCAACCTGCAATGGAAGCCTCCATCCACAAAAACAAAGAGGTATTTCTCTCCACAGCCCTACTTCTTTGTGGATGGCTTTGTTTTATTTTTCCTCACACTGGATTAGTGATGAAACCCTAAGAGATCTTTTACCAGATGCTATTTGAAAATAAGCATCTCTAACAGATATGAGCGCACCAAACTGCAGCATCTCTGAGCAGTGCTGTAAAGGACAATATAGAAATGCACAGATGGCCCCCTTTCCAGGGAAGAATAAATTTGATCTGTGGATCCAAACAGGGCTGGATACTCAGCAGGTACAAACTGTCATTGCTACACTGGTCTCACTTGAAGGACAAGTGAAAGGTAGTAAGAAGCTGACTGAGAAGCATGCACACATAAAAATACACTCTCATCCACCTGCAGCTACTGACTCTGAGTTCATGAATCTCATCTCAGCACTGCAGGTGATCTTACAAATGCATCAGCTTCTCTTGAAACGTTTCCCTATGTACATATGTACAGATACCAGACCTGGCACAACCCACCAGTGCACTGCACTGCAATCCCAAGAAATGCATCTAGACAGCCAGCTCCTTTGCAGTAAAGAAATTTACACACTTCTCCCAATTTCACCTTTAAGAATTCTCAAATGAGATTGAAAGTTCATGCTGTAAAAATCACATCTCAAAATAAGCAGTTACCAGAAATGTAAAACACTTCTACTCTGCAAAATTAGCTGAGCACATTTTATGTATTTAAAAAAATATAGGACATGCATTGCTGCAAAAAAATAATGTGCCAGGTCCCCAGTTAGAAAAAAATGACACAGTTCCAGTGAGTGATGCAGACTTACAATAGGCATTATTTACACTGCAGGAAAAATGGGAATGGAAAATTAAGGCTGTAATACAGGGTCAAATAATTCCGAATAATTGTTAACCTAAAGGCCATTATTTTGCATTAACCAGTTCCTCCTCATCTCATTTTTTATGAAAAGTAAGTTCTCTGCATAAAAGCTAAATAATGGTGATGCCAAAAACCTGTTCTCCTCCTGTGCCCATTGTGGGCTAGGAGCACCAACAAATTCCACAAAGGTGTCCTACCAAGAGTCGGTGCTTAGCCCCACAGGCAGCCAGGAAGATGCCATTAACAAATTTGGCTGAGTCATGTATATTTTAGCAATGCAACTAGACAGTCCAGAAGAATAGGATTCAAATAAAATATGAATTAGTGTGAAGCCAAATTTCCCCATAGCAAGCATTTTCTGCATAAAAGAGAAGGAAAAAAATTATCCATGGCTATTGCGCTTAACTTTTCCCAGATGCTTCAAGAAGCTTTGTGGCAACACCCCTATGTCCCCTGAGGTGCAACAGGAAAGAGAGCAGGAGCAGAACAGAGGGATGCTATGGTTAGGGGAGAGCTGAAGTTTAAAAAAACCAAAAAACGACAAAAACCCACACTAAAATATACCTCACAACACATGCTGTAGCCCTCACATAACCTGAACACCAGCCTGGATTTTTTGTTTGATTATTGAAGAAGAGCTGGCTACACATCCCCTTTTGCATGTGGATCTCCCCAAGCTTCCAAGCATTAGTGATTTGGGAAAATCACTACCCACATGGCACCTGCTCCCACCACCTCTGCAGAGCTTCTCAATGCTCCTGGTGTTACCTTTCCAGCCAATAGAAGGAAATGTTGTCCACTTTCTGATCAGTTTACTAAAGGGTCTAGAAGAACTTGGTTCAGGAAAACCTTGTGTTTTTAGCTTTAGCTGGAAAGTACATGTATCCCAATGAAGGGAAGAATCACAACCCAGGCTGGGAGTAAAGCAAGGGAGGTCCTGGCTGAGGTCACTTTACCTGGGATGGACACAAGGCTATGGAGGGTAGTATGAAAGGAGACAATATCAAGAAGCCTGAGATCTAGTGGTGTTAGGAACTGTCAAGATCTGAACACTGAGATAAAAGTTCAGTCATTCCTGGTAATGGATAGGTACTGCCAGAATTTTGCATTGGTATCTTACATTTAGCAACAAGCATTGCCCAGGCAGAGATCTCCAGACTTCAGCAGTGTCACAGGGGATTCTTCTGCACAAGAAAAGCTGCAGAGCCATTTCCAGCACTGCTCATCCAGGGGCGAACAAACCCTTAGCAATTCTCAGGCAGGAGAGCACTTGGCTGGATGTTGTACTGATACCAAAGGAGAAACAACTGGCAGTAGGTACAGGCAAAAAATTGCCTTCATAGGAAGAGACCATGTAGGTCCTTTCAAGGAGTACTTTATACTCTCTGGACATCTGAACCCCTGCAACTCCCTCTAGGTGGTATATTTCTGCACGTGTGTTTCTTATATTGCATTTAACTCGTCTGAGGTACCAAAGTGCAATAGAGCTGTACCTTAGGTTAGAATTCAGGAGAAATTCCTAACAAAGATTCAATTATGTAAGCAGATTTAAGAGAGGACAGGCAAGAAGCATGGATAGTGAGGAAGGACTGGTGTGTAGAAATCATCATAAGGTATTTCACAGAACTTTTGTTATTTGTCTCCTAAGAGACCCTTTGTTATAAGACACACTCATGTAATACAAAGATAACCTGCTAGCATATTCTGTCCATGAACTTCACTACTGGCGGATATACAGATGCAGAAGAGTTAACTGGAGGCAGAGTGGTTTTGGCAGAGTTAATCACTGAGCTCCTTGGTAAGCATGTACTGGGAATCATGGGCCTCGCAAGGTGAACAGCTATAGCTTTAAAAAACAGAATATTATTTTTGAGGCAGGAGAGCTGAAGCAGAGATACTTGGTTTTGTAAGAAAGCCAGCCTGACAAATTCATAAGAGGACACAGAAACAGTGGCAGGGAAGCTGCAGTCTTGCTCCTTCCCAATTGAAGGTTTATATCTGCTTAGGTCAAGCAAGGTTTGCTCCTATAAAGGCATGGCCCAAAACTCAGGATCGAAGGGATCTGGGTTATAACAACAAAGGAAGCCTGGCTGTTCTTTGTCTGCTGACATTCAGTTTTGTTTTAGAAGACTGAATGTGTCTCTGCACACACTTTCCGATAACAAGAGGGAAACCACCCGCAGGGCACTAGATAAGGTTGACCCTACAGGAGGATTTGCCATATAAGACCCAGCTGCTGAAGCCTATGGAACCAGATTGAACCTGGCAGGGTCGCAGGATCTTTCACTGAGCAAACTACAAGTTAAAAAAAAAAAAAATTAAAAACCAAGCACTTCAGCAGCAGGAGCACACAAGGTATAGCCTGCCTGATGATCCATGACAAAACTAGAAGAGCAACATGTCCCAAGGTTTGTAGGACCTCCCATTAATGCACATTCCTGAGCCTGATTTTCAAAGTGATCAACTTCTTATAGAAACAAGTTTTTTTTCCTCTCAGATATATTGGGTTGAGAATAAAAAAAACAGTTTAAGAGCAGAAGGGATGAAAAATGCTATCCTGACAATGTAACTGTTACCCTTAATCCTGAAGCTTGCCCTCAGCATCTACAACAGCCAGAAGAGAAGGCAACATATTTAGGTATCAAATGCTGGGAAACATGCTCCAAGACCTACAGCTTAGATCTTACAGCATTCATGGTTTGCAGCTTGCATGGTGCTTTGTAGTGCCGTTTCCCTTTTCGCCACATTTAGGGGTTAAACTTCTGTTTATGATTAAGGACCCCAACCTCTCCCCCCACACACATACTTAGTATGAGACCAACTGAGCATTAGTGTATCTGTACAACGTCTGCAGGTCAAATGGGCTCCTAATCCAGATAATCCATGCAGTGTGATTGGCTACAGTTCTGAAGAAATCCTTTAATTTTCATTCTCTTGCTACTGCTGACAGTCAGGGTTTTGTTGACAAATTAGCAGCAAAGTAATGGATGCAGGTGGATTAGAATACCTTGTTTTGCATGTGGCAGTATCAGACCACCAAAAATAAATACACATTAAGAAACTCAGAAAGATATCATTACTAAAACAGGGTGGCTGTTTTTTAAAAAACGTCTTGAAGCTGCAGCACAGAGGTGAAAGCATGATAAAGGAGAGGATTACCTTGTTGAAAAATGTAGATGCCTCCTCTCCATTTTTTGGACACCTAGCTCAGCCTTTCCTGAGGGACCAGGCCCAGGCTTCCCCCAGTCCCAGCCTCTGTGGGATGTACACTGACTAGGTACTAAGCCAAGGCAGTCGACTTCAGCACCCACAAGGCAACCTGGGAATGCAACACTTACCCAGCCCTCCCCACTACCTGACCTGAGCACTTCCCTTTTTTGAGATGAGAGCTTGTTGTGAAGCAGGCAATACCTTAAAGGCTACTTCCAAATGCCACACTCAGTGCTACATTTGCTATAGAGGCAAGATCTCAGCTGCCACAGGCAGCAAGGGAGATATCAAGTCTGCTGACCAAATCAAGGTGGAGAGAAACCAAGTTGTGGAACAGAAAAAGTATTTCCTTTCAGGAAAGCAAATAACCAGCCCCCAAAACAAACAAAAAAGAGATGTTAATTCAGGCTACTGGACACCTGTAACTCTTTTCCTTAATTTTTAAAGCGCTTTCTGGAAGAATCAGCTGCTATAAAAAGGAAGAATACTTTCATGAAGTGAGAAGACTGTTTCCACTTAAAGATGTGGACAATACACTCTGAAGTCTAGTCAGAACAGCTTCATTATGCTCTTTGGTATGCAGTGGTTACAATACATTTCCAACAGGCTGAAAGGTATCTGCCACTACCGGGTATTCTGGGACCAGAAGCCCTGTGCTTGATAGGGTGAAGGAAACTGCTTCACAGAAAAGGGGTGAGTGAAGGCAAAAGCAGGGTATGGAAAATATGAAACAAAAAACATGTGAAGGGGGGGGAAAAGTGAAAGAAACATGAGAAAAACAGAAGAATTCAGAGAAAATAGGAATGAAATTGCCCTGTCTTACAGGAGAGGACAAGGGTTCCAATTTCAGCCAAGATGTCCTGCAAGTGGAATAGGCAAAACCTGGTGTTAAAAAATGTTGCAAAGGGGAGGCCTCAGAAACAGAGATGATTTGTGAGAAAAGTTAAGAGCATTCAGGTCTCCTCACATTAAAAAAAAACTATTCTGGTTTAAAGCACAGCTATATTAGGTTTAAGGAATCTTTTGGAGACTCTACAAACCTTATGGAGATAAAAAGCTTGTGCTCCTCTCAGATTGAATGCTGCACTCAAAAAAAGCAGTTCTTACAGAATGAGAGCATAAAGGAAATGAGACAAACTTAAAAAAACCACCTTATTTTATCCTACATATTTATAAAGAGGCAAAAGAAACCTTATTTAGAAGGGCTTCTATAAGACTACTATAATTTCAATGAAATATCTAGAATTGCAGTAGTAAATAACACAGTGTTTGGAGGAGAGACAAGTCTTTCAGTGCTTTTGGAAATATGGGAAGGCAAGATAAACAAGGCAACAGATCCATTTCTAATTGCTAAGAGTTGGGGTGTGGGAGGGAATGTCAATGTTTACACCATACCAGAAATGTGATCTCTCATATCAATTTGCTTCTTTAAGGCATCATCTTAACACCATTTCCTGGCCAATACTAAGCCATAGGACCAAGCAAACTGGATTTTACCTCATGGACTAGAAGTTTTGTATTCCCCATGTGATATTTCAAAACCCAATGTGTCCCACGCATGCATTCAGTCCCTTACAATCATTTGAATTTCCTCCCCAGTGCCACATTCTTCACATGTGACTTCAGAATATAAGTAACACTTTCAGCCCCAAAATCCTTTTAAAATCCACCTCCTGTTCAATACCTATAGTTTTGAATATAGTAACAAATATGTTGACTAGCAACTCCCACTACAGCAGAGAAAGAAAGTCCCACAAAGAGGTGGAATCCCAGAACAAAGGTGGAGAACAAAAGCCCCCCCTTTACTCAATTTGTCTGCCCACATACCAAAGATCAAAAGAGCTCTGGGAAGGCTCTGCATAATCTACATACTTTGTGACCTTATTACAATCAAATTCCCCCTGCAGGCACAGCCACTGTGTATATATGCACACACTGTAAATACACAAGCGGGTCTGTGGATGTTTGCCAAGTCACTTGCTCGTGCATTGAGTTTGCTTACTTTTAACAATGCTGAGGCCAAAGAAGTGAGGCTCTTTAATCTTCACTAAATCACAAACTTGCTGAAAGAGCTCTTGTCCAGTGGCTTTGACCTGAAAGACACAACCAATCCAGCATTACAGATGTCTCATGCACCTGGATGGAGAAACTCTTCTAAAGAGGAGTCCTAAAGAAGAGTTGCAGGCCAATACATTTTTGGGTACCAAAGTAAAATACCCAAACACAACCACACCAGAGAACATCCTTTGTTTTCAGTATTATTGCTATTATCATAGAATAATAATCATTAATATTTACAGAAATGAAAATACCACTCCCTTACAATTTTTTTTTGAGAAAATAAAAAAACCAAACCCAAAAGTCTCATTCTGGAGAACCAGGAACAAAAGCACCCAAACAAACACAAAGACTCTGAGTAGCTCATAGGTTAGAGATGTGGTTTTTCTGTACCCCACAGAGAGGAGCTCCTTCTGTCTCCTGCTGACTTCTAGTCACACAGCCATTAACATCTCTATCTTTGGCAGCTGCAGCCAAAAGCCTGTAAGACCTAGCAGTGTTTCCCTGCACACTGAGACCTTCCAATATCCCTGCCTCCTGTAATGCACAGACTGCCCCAGAAGGAGCAGCATGGTTCTGGTTAATTACATGTGCACACCTGGATGTGTACTATGATAGGAAGATTCCCCCACTAAACATCTCCCCATCCATAGCCTCATTTCCCCCTGTCCCACTGCACCATCCCAGGAGTACTGACAGACAAACACAGAAATCCCCCCAGCCCACAGAGAGTCCAGAGAAAGAGCAGATGGGGAGAACAGAACAGGACTGACACAGACAACCTCAGCTCACGCCATGGTGCAGCCAGCTGCAGCTGCAAAATGGGCCAGGACCTTGGAATTTCATTACCCCAGTGCTGGACCATGCAGATTAGCAGTGCCAGGAGCGGTACCGTGCAGCGCTACCTGCCAGGCAACAGAGAGGACAGGGCAGAAGTCGACTGTTTAACTCTGCTACAAACCAATCACCATCCTAATTTTTAAAGCTCTTATAGTGTAGGTATGCCACACACCCCAGAAACTGGCTTGCACTCACCTCCCTGCCCCAGGCCGTACCATGTCACTAGACATGGACAATGGGAAACAGGAGGTCATTTAAGTACTCATTTTCTTCTACTTGACAAGGCATCAGTAGCCAGACACTCACTGCTGCTTCATCAGGAGCTTTGAAGCCTGCACTACACCAATGCAAACACGTGTAAGCTTTGAGCAGGGAGGAGGTAGTGCACAGTTCTGATAAGACCCAAAACCACATCTGGGTCTCACATCTCATAATGAGTCTCCATGTAAGACTGTACCCTTTCAGTCTCACACCTAGATGCAGTGTTTGGTCAGACACCCAGAACACACACTTGGAAGGGAAAGTTGGGCACAGAGCAGTCTCCTTTGCCAAAGAAGCAAGCTCTGAGCATGTTCTCCTACCTGGGAAGGATTTGCTAAGAAAGATGTGACCTGCCTCTAGCCAGAATGGTTATGGGCATGCAAGAGTCACCGGCAGCATAGGACTCTTAGTAAATGCTACACAATGAGATGAATTTTCTAAGTGGCAAGCTTTCATACCTAAGGGAAGAAAAACCTGCTTTAAGATACTTAATTCTAGGGAACTGAGTACTTCAAGTGACAGTTTTGTGGCACACAGCTCTCAACAGTGATTTAGGCAGAGTTCTAGCACAGCAGGTATGTTACTAGCACCTTGTCCATTCTCCTCTTGGCACTTCCCTTCTGTATCAAGTTCTACTCCCAGCCTTAAAGGCTATGCAATACCAATTACATTTGCAACTGCTGTTCCCTCCTACTTTCCCCTCTGCTCAAAGCAACCAATACTTCCCTTTGCATTTTTCATCTTTGGACTTTCCTCCCTATGCATACAGTTCCTGTGCCAAGATTGATCTCAGAAATGTTATGACTCATTCCTTCCATTGATACTCAGCTTTGCCCCATGTCGGGTTCAGGGCTTCTTTACACGTGAAATTTAGTCCAAAGTGAAATCAAGTGCAAGTTTACAGATGGCAACTGCTACTCCAAGGTCATTCTGTGTACAGATATTCACGTGCATTAGTTGCCTATATCTATTTTTCTTGATATGTATGTTTTGAAACATTGGCTCTCCTGTTCACAGAACAACTGAAAGATTTCAGACCTATGCTTGCCATTCACCAACCCACAGGCCCTCACCAGACTTCCTCCACTCCAAAAGTTTCTCCCACTTTGCCTTGCCCTCCTCAGGGCAGCGGGTGACCTGCAGCATCCCCTAGTTCCCCTCACAGCTCTGCTTCTCCTCACGTCCACAGCTGGTCCCAAGAAGGCAGATTTACTGCTCACCACCCCCCTAAATTCACTGTACATTCAGAAAGGCAGACATCGAAGCTAATTAAGAGATACTTGACTGTGGGGGAAGAGAAATTAAAATGGCTCCTGCTCTTCCCTCTTCAACAGCACTATCTCTGAATGGTGTAAGACAAATACATTTTAAAGGGCAAGCTTCAATCTGTATGTGACCACATAAAACACATATAGGTAAACTCTTATCTGGAAGGGTGGAATTTATATGGGAGAGGGAGGACTTACCTGCATAAACACTGTGCTTATCATGGGAAGGATCTATAATTTATTCTGCTGGAAAGATAACTATTCCTACCTACCTCAATGAGCTGCAAGCTTGTTTAGTATTTGCATTCCACACTGAAGAGGTTAAAAGGCTTTGGAAATCTTTAGTAGTAGCATTATTATTCTAATAAATGCACAAAGTATCATCTGTGGTTGTGCTAATTATATTTGGGTTCTACCAACATCAATAGAAAATTGCCTTGATGTTCCTTTAAAAAAGAAAGATCTCTCCAGCTGTGAAATCTTAATTTTTGTTGCTGTTTTGAATGAATGTTGTGGTAAAGTCCAAAGCCAAGTGAAAAGCTGTTTCTGGTGACTTGCCCAGCTGTAACAGGTCATGTTTCACTCTCTATGCAATTAGGACACAACCATGTGTCGAGGTCTCATGTTTTGGCCCAGGCAGCTATTCCCTTTCACACACAGGCATCTCCAAGTACATACTTTCCCAATTTCCCAGACACGAAAGAAAGGGGTATCAGAAATGACAAGGGCAAGTGTCTTTAACAGGAATACAGAGAGGTGCTGTGGGGGATTCCCCTGCAGGACAACATAGTGATGCACAAGGCACCCCAGCTTTTTGGAGGGGCAGCAGGCTGGGACAGGACAGGGAAACAGGAAGGGACACAGCACTTTTCCTCTGTTCCTGTCAGCACTCAATGCACAAGACTATTTCTTATGCTTATTAAATATTTTAGAGGCATTAAAAAAGACATGCAGATGTAGCATTTAGGAACCTAGTTTAGTGGTGGACTTGGCAGCGTCATGTTTATGGCTGGACTCGGTCTTAAGAGTCTTTCTCACTTCGAATTTTTTTACAATAAACTGCAGGTTTTTGTGATTTACCAGAGCATGATCCAGTGGTGAAGGAACAGCTGTGTGCTCCATTCAGACACAGGTAGAGTGAGTAGCAGTGACAGTGTCAGCCCTGGCTGGTGCACTGCCCTCCTGCACCTTCCCCACGGCCAGCAGCTCTGCTATCTCCCATCTTTAGCCTCCCTGATAAGAGCTATAAGAAGGTGAGATTTAGGGTCAGCTGCAACAGACCATTACCCAGGCCCATACACCTGCTGCCAAGAACTTAATTAAATCATTGTTTTCTGCCTTGCACAAAAGCCAGCAGATTGCAGAAGCCTTCTGGGGCAGTGGATGGGCTGGGTTTGAACCAGTAACCTAGAAGCAGAGTGTCCCAGATTTTTCTGTTAAAGCTTTATTCCATCCAACCCTTGAGGCTGTTTCAGCTAAGGACGCTACACTTACACATAGCAGGTAGGAAAATTCCGACATGGATTTGAAGATTAGCACACACAGTTTCAAAAGCCACAGTTTCACTCAAGTACTTAAAATAACAGTTCACCTCAACTGTCTTCTCCCCCTCCTCATCCCAAAGCAGGGGAAAAAAAACCTACCCAAAACAAAGGCAAATCTCCCCAGCCCACACGAGTGCACACACACGCTCACAAGAGAGCACTTATCTTTGAAACTCGCTGGTCCTCTGAACGCCAAGTGCCTCTTGTCAGCTCAGTTTCTCACAAGTTCAAGGAGCAGCCGGCACTGCACAAAGGCACCGTGCTGTGCAGACACCGTGCCACCCTGGGCTGCCAGCTGAGCTGGCCCTGCTGTCACTCACACACACTTCGAGACATTCGAGGCAGCAATCAAAGAAATGAAGCGACTTGCCTCAATTTTCTGTGTGTACAAGTACTCAAGAGGAGGGAAAAAACCCACCCTCAATGGCTGTTTGCCTTAGACTCTTTGAAGGGATCTGCAGGCTGTCAAAACCAGGGATAGCTGGACACTTTACAAGAGCAAACAGTCATATGTTGGGTAGACTTGCTAAGTAATCAAGGTATTTCAAGTTCAATTTTTAAAAAATTGTTGGATTATTACAAGCAGCAAAACCATTCAGAGATAATAACATGTAAATAACAACAGAAAAAGAGCAGAGAAGACCCCCACCCTACAAACACAGCCCTGACTTCCAACAAACTCTGCGAATGAGTTCAATGAGTCTGCCCAATTAGAAAATGGAGCACCAATTACCCTAAGCTGGCTAATAGCCTTTTGGTCAGCAGACCAGCACCAGGCTTTTGGGAGAACAATGGGAGCTAACAAATCTGAACCGTGGCCTCGATGCAGCGACCTCCCAGCACTCACCCCCACGGCCAGGCTGAGCTGCTCACGGGTGGGCAGGAAGACACAGACGCTGCGGATCTCTGGCTGCATCCTGCCTGCCAGCAGTGTCCTGCTCATGGTGGGCAGCTCCACGGGGGCTGGGCTCTCCTCTCCAGACTGGTGTCAGGCTCCCTTCATCCCATGTACCTGTTGAAAAGGCGAGAGCATCAGTGCTGTGCTTCTGTTGGCACCGGCAGCAGCTCACAGCACATGTGTGATGAGATGTTTAAAAACAAAACCACTCCCAACAGTCATCCATTTTCCAGGGTCAGTCAATGTTTCCACCAGCATCACAGCACAAACCGGCAGTGTCAACCTTTTAAACAGCTCGAAAGTCCCATGAGAGTGCCATAAAGCAATGAGGTCTCCCTGGAATAACAAACCAGACTCAAGGTTTCCAGACTCGTGTAAGCGATAAGGCAGGTGGCACCTTGGGCTGCTGCCTGAGAACACCCGTGACATGGGGGAGCGCCCATCCCTCAGCCAGGCACCTCACTCACTCCCAAAGCAGAGAGTTCAATGGGCTGTCAACAGGCACTTGTCAGTGCACAGGAGTTCATCTGTGCTGTCCTCCCCCTCACTCCGTCCCTACTCCCTGGGAAACCACTGCCTGAAATCCTCTACACTTCAACTCAAAGGAGGAGGTGGAACACAAACTCAGCCACTGTATAACACCTTTTGTGAGGTAAGCACTGCCCTCCTCTCAAGCACTGAGCACAGGCTGCACAAGCACCTTACAGCTGAAGTTCAGATATTAACAGAAATAAGAGATGGAAGTTTTCTTTGCAGCCAAATGCAGGGAAGCCAACATCATCTTGACTTTACAGCTAGGTTAGACAGTTTCCTGAGCAACTTGTACCATTTTATGTATAGCCCTCTCCTCTCCAATGCTCTCAGTACTCCTCTCATGAAGTATCCTGTGGCACCTGATGAATCCATCAGGAAGGGGAGAGGCTCCTCAAGGGGGGGTTAGGTATCAATGCCAGCAGAGACCTAAACCAGCAAGATACCAGCCATGGGGTCATGCCTGTACAAGTTTTGATGTAAGTCAACCTCCAACTGCCCTGAACAAAGGGGTTGACTCCCTTCCACCAGCAGCACCTGAGCACTCACCTGCAGCACAGCAACAGAGGTGCTGCTGGCTGATGCCTGTCCCCGAAGTCCCCACACTCCCGGGGACAGGTGCAGACCCCAGCAAGGGCAGCCCAATGCACTGGTTCTGGCAGTGCCACCCTTTCCTACACCCAGAGCCCAGCCCACCTTCAGGGGACAGGCTGTGAAGGGAGCCATGGGCTTTTCCTTCGCCCTCCACAACGCATAAAAAATGAGGGATCACAAGCAGCAGGGAAGCAGGCTATGTCATGCCTGCTTATACCTGCCTGTATACACATACACATATATGCATGTACTTGTGTGCCTGTGCACTACAAATAAGTTTTAAAAGCATTGTTTTGTGTTTAAAATCATGTTTGTCCAGGTTCAGGAGAAAATTATGGCAGAATCAAATTCTTGTGTGGGAGATGGGAAAAGCAAACAATAATGTAGAGTACAGCAAATAGAACTTGGATTTATCCCTCTCCTTTCAACTCTGTGCTCAAGCATAATTTTTTTTAAATTATTTTTTAAAGCAAATACAAGATAGATCCAGGAGTGTCCTCTTGCAAATTCAGAAGCTGTTCCGTGCACCACCTTCCCAGAGCCAGCATATACAATGCTTCTTAACAAAGCAATTTTTGATTCAAGCTGTGTAGAGCATTCCTTATAAGACAGAAGTGCACCAAAAAATGCTGACAAGGGAGTTATTAAAGTATTTTTTCAGAAGAAGTATTTAGTTTAAAAATACCTAGGAGTTTTTAAAAGATTGCTCTAAAATAAAGCAAGTGATTTGACTTTATGGGACATGTGAAAGCTGCTATTAACTGGAATATTAAGAGGAAAATTCTGATTTATCTTCTCTCATTGAAATAATTATACTCACATGCTCTCTTAGGGTCTGGACTACACACTATTAACAGATATATATAAATTACAGATGTCTACAGAATGACTTGAGGGCAACAGGTCACCGCTATTATTGCCAGCTGATGTAATTCATGCCATAAACTTTATCAACAGCATAAAGACCTCAAGTATGAACTTATCTTAATTGTCAAACGGCTGCACTGGCCAGTACATGTTCCCTCTCACAAGGGGATATCACAGCCAGTGAAGACACTCATGGGGCTCAAAACAGAACTGAAAGTAGGACAAAAAAGTTACCATAAAACACAAACACAGGCACACAGATTCCTTTGGACAGCTGAAGAAACTGACGCCAACTTCTCCATAGCCTCTACAATAAAAAGTTTCTGGAGAGTTTTTCCCCACACCTGCTTTTTCCATTTGAATTTTTAAGAGAACAGCTGTGGACCTTTGGAAGAGGGAAGTGAGAAAGGCAGAAGAGAAAGTGTTTTTCTTATTATGATTCAAAACAAACGAGCTTGTGGACCCTCCCACAACAGGTAAGGGGTTAAAGAAAAAACGTCCTTAATCTGAAGGGGGAGGTCAAACACAGGCCCAGCTCAACCTTCTCTTCTTTAGAGGTATGTTAGGATGTGATAAAACATAATGAATCATTAACTTGCTAGCAATGCATGTTTACACCTTTCCTTTTTTTTTAACAAAGTTGTGAGTCAGGAGTAACTGCCCAATGAAAACAAGTGACCAGAAGGAATGCTCTTACTTAAACATACACAATTTCAGACTGCCCATATGCCATTCCTTTGTTTACCACAAATTCCAACCTCTTAACCTCAATTAAACCATAAAAGCTCCAGCAAATGCCCTGCAGATGAATTAATAAAAGCTGAAGTCAATCATCAGCCTCTGGGACACCCTACAGGTTGTTTGTTTTTGTTGTGCTGCTTTTTTTTAACTAACATTCATGTTTTAGCTCCTGAAGAAGTGCATTTTGAGATGCAATTGCTTGGTCAAAGGCCCAGCAAGTCTATCAATTAAAACAGTCAAAGGCACTATTTGTTTGTATTCTTCTGGTATCAGACAGGAGGCTTATTAGTGCCCAGAGTGGTGGCACAGCTTATTTAGCAGTGTTTATTTTACCTAAACACACATGCAGAGGATCTTTGGAAAACATGCCTGTCATTAACTTCAAGCCTTCTCTCACTAAGCAGCTCAAACACGGCCATAAAAACTCAATTAAATCTTCCCCTCCTCTCTCCACAGACCCTCAAGTTGCCTCCCAGCACAGGACCAGAACCTCAGCACTTGCTGGATCCAAGCAGGAATGGATGAGGTTTGCCCCAGCAAGGCAGAAAAGAGCAGCAGAGCCCCCCATGGGAGGAAGAGGAGTTGAATGAGAAGGAAGGAGCCATTTGCTTCAGGGATCAGCAGGATGGCTCACTGAAACACCTCACCCACCATACACCCAATGGCACAGGGATGTCCTGCCACCACTGAATTTGGGGCCATGCCACTGCCAGCCTGTCTGGGAGAAGGTCTCAGCCAGACACCATGTGGGTACTTGTAATGAACCATTTGTTTTACACACTGGTTCATAACACCACAGCAAATTGAGTCCTAAGTCACATTTCAGCCTCTAGGTACAGCTACAACCACATCTCAGGGGGGATAAAGGGAACAGATGAATGAGCCATAACTTACCAACTCAGAGCAGCAAAGCAGAACAAAGTTCTTATCTATCAAGAAAAAAAAGCACAGGTAATTCTGTGCTTCTCTTACAAACACCTGGAAACATGCTTTTTAAGGTTTATTACAGTAAAACATCTGCTTTTGCTAGAGCTGATAGAGAATGAGCACTGAGCATCTTCCTGATGAAACCTTACCACAGTGGCCCTACAGCCTCCCATCAAAAATTGTCCAGAAACATTAAGACTCTTCTTAATATTTTCCAGACACCATCCAGAGATCTCTTAGGCTTCTAAGAACACTAGACTCTTAGGCTGCAGTTTCACAAACAGCTTAAGCAGCTTTAATCAAGGCACTCCTGCAGCAAGACAGACAGACAACTGCCTGGAAACAAATCTGCCTTTGGCAGCAACCCACACTTGGGCTGCCTCGTACTCATGATGAAACACAGTCATAGAACTGAAAACCCCCCTCACCTTCCAGGTGTTTTGCCCCCTCAGATGCACAGTGTAGGGCACCAGTACTATCTGCAAAGGAGAGTAATAAAGAGCCTGAGCAAGTAAAAGATGTCATGATGGCATGTATAAGCCTTTCTCAGCAATTTTAAAAAACTCCACCCACCTCCTTTGACTAACCCCTGCAATGATGAAAATTTCTCTGAGAAGATGCATTAGCCAGGAAGGAGCGGAAACAAAGTTGCTTGTCAGGGCAGAAAACAAGATTGAAGCTAAATAGCTTTATGTCATGGCTGTAAAATGATGTGAAAAGTGCCACCTGTGACCAGCAGTCAGGACAACTAGGTCACATCCTGCAGCAAACTCCCAGGAGCACATGGACTTTTCAAATGTGTCTACCTCAGCATCATTCCAGGACTAGCACAACACATCCAAGGGCAAAGATGCCACAGGGAGGTAAGGTACCAAATTTGCTATCCACACACTGCTCTTTGGGTAAAATACACACCTGTCTTCAAACACTGCACACTGCTTTGTAGGAAATCCCTATTCACAGCCATTGAACAAGGAACACCAGGACACCTCCCAGTCACTCGGGTGCTCTGAAGAACTGGATTCCAGAACTGGTGCAGCTTGGCTGATAGATGCAACACTGACAGCAGAGACAGCTGGCTTCAGCCCATGGAATTGGGAGATCAACTTCAGCAGGCTTTCTGCACCTGCTCAGGTGTGACCACAGTCCTCTCACAGGACACAAGTGTGGGCCTGACCCCCACCTTTCCTTTAGGATTCTTCAAGAGGTGCAATGCAAGATGCCCTCAAAAGCTTCAGGGCTGTGAACCCAAGCAGATGTGATGGGGAAATCGCTGAGCATTGGTCTTAGGTACCAGCCAACATCCTTTTTCCTGTACAAGCAGCACTCCTTGGTGACACTGAGCTTTAGCAATAGCAAGGAAAATGCTTTCTCACTAGTCTTCA